CATGATACCCTTGTAAAAGTATTTTAAACTGTATAAAAAAAATTGAAATCAATTGTGAAAATCCATTCCTTATATAGAACGGTCTCTCCTGTTTAACTTTACATGATTACCAAAATTGTCATGTGACAAAATTTACAATATTAATAATCACGCACTGTCTAAAAGTATCACAATTTTTTTTGAAATCAAAAGAACATTTTGTTTTTTCTTCAATTAATAAATTAATAAATTAAACATTTTAATTGATTAATTAATTATTGTGGTTTGCAAAATAGTTGATTTTTTGCAGATCTGTGTGATCCATGATTTTTTTAGAAAATTTTATTGTCACGAATGATAAATATTATAAAACTTTTAATTTTAATATTGTTTAATTTAGTTTTTTTATGAACTTTTCCTAATTAGACTCTATAATATAATCTATTGAAATCTCAAATGTGGTTGAATATAAAATATTTAGTGAAAATTAAGAAAAATTATATATATATATTTTTTTTTCAATTGAAATTATTTGAAATTTCATTGATCCCTCCCCAAAACTATATACATTTTGCAATTTGGGTCTTTTCTATTTTCCATGCCCTAAATATGATTCCTGAAATTCTTGGTAATACCAATGTTCACTTTGTCTGGTTTGTTGCAGCATGCCCCAAAATTTGTAATTTCAAAATGTTAAGGCTCTGCCAATTTTTAGTTTAAGAAAAGCCTAGCTGATAAGTTTTGAAGCTTGAATCATGAACAATAAAACTTACTGGTTAACTTTTTTAAAATGATATAAAGTTTTTTGTTTTAGTATTTGAATATTTTGAAGCTGACTAAGCAATTAATCGATCATAGATGAATATTATATATATACAGACAGGGGTTTTTTATGAAATATACAGAACATACATGACAAATAAGGATTAATTCTTAGAGTTGGTAAGCACTCTGTAATTCCTGCCACCCCAGCCCATTAATTCAATCATCACATCATTGATAAATGTTACATGGGTTTACAAATTTTTTGAGCTACAATTTAGTTGTCTTTTTTGTAGAATGAGTTGCCATTTTTAGTAGGTTCTGTATATTTTCCTTTTTGAAATTTGGCCACATAGTGCAGCAATAGAAGTCTTTAGACCATGCCAACCATATGGAGTGATGAAAGCCACTTTACATTATTTGGCAGTGATTTACCAACACAAATTTGGCATGAAAAGAGGACTCATTTTAATATTGAAAATCCAATAGTAAAGTGTGGTAAGGATGAATAATGGTTTAAAGTTACTTCACAGGTAAAGGATTAGGACCATTGGTCAGCATAGAATTATATCAATATTTTAGAGAATGAATCATTGCCATTCATTTGAGAATTTCTACAAATTACAAATTTCAAGATGATAACATGCCTGTTCACACATTGAAAAATGTTATAAAATGATTATCTGAAAAAAGGTGAGGGTTCTGGAAGATTGGCCTTTTCAATCTCCAGACCTTAATCTAATTGAACACTTATGAGGTGAGTTTGGTAGTCCTATACATCCAAAAAATCAAGATGGATTAGAATATTATTTGAGAGAAGAATGGTAACAAATCCTGCATGAAAAATACTTGATAAGATTTTTTTTTTTGAAAAACTTATCTTTAAAATGATCAACATGTTAAGTTTCAACATTGACTTTACTTTTTAAAATATCTCAATGAAATAAAAATTTAAAACCATATTGGTAATCACAAGAACCAGAGCTATCAAATAATATAAAAATCACAAATTTTTATTTAGTGCATTTTTGTAATAAATGCAAAAGAAATTTTGGATATAAACTTTTGGTGATCAAGACATAGAACCAAAGACTCTGTTATGACGACAAATGCTAGGACCATATTCTTCATATTCAAGTTTTGTATGGCAATATGAATAAAATTCTGGAGTTGAACCTAACAAAGAGCCACCAAACCACACAGCATAGCGTTGTTTTTTATGAGAAATTACATTGACATCTATTGGTGTAGACTATTAATAAAAAAAAATATTCAAGAATTAAAAAAGTGTTATTATTATTTTAATGTCAATATGGATTGTTTATTATAATTTCCTGAAATGAATGAATAGATAATATTCTTACTTTAAGCAAACCACCACTTAATTCTTCACTTCTCTTTAAACGTGCATCTGCAGTACGCTTCACATCACGTTGGAGTCGTCTACCAAAATCTTTAAACATTGTTGATCCACCGGATAAAACAATATTCTACAAGTAGCACCATTGTCATAATCATTATTATTGTATAATTTTTCATATAGATAATTAATTATCAAATCTAAAGCATAAAAGATAATAACTACCTTATATAAACCACGTCTAGTATCAATAGGACAACTTTGAATAACATTATCAACAACTTCTGGGAGTGGTGTCAAGAAATCAGAAGAAGCAATTTCAGGATTAAAAAATATCTCAGGTCCTAAAAACCGTTCATAACCAACATCCACTTCATATGGCTAGAAATATATTATAATTATTTTTTTAAGAAAGAAAAAAAGAAAACTGTTACAATGATATATTGTTGTTACCTGTCCAGTAACACTATGCACTCCTTGAAATTTCTGAAAATATTTTTCGCCTTCTTGATCATATTTTTTAAATTCTTTAACCATATCTTGACAAACATAAGAAAATTGTTCTTTGATCCGTTCTGCCACTTTCAAAGAATCTTCTGGAGGAATTGAAGTTTCATTACGATCACGAAGTAATTGTTGAACAAAGTAAGTAATATCACGACCAGCAATAGGAATATGTTTAATAGATGATCCAATTACATAACTTTCAGCCTTTATTTTAAGTGGGAAAAAATATTAATTGATTGGTATTTTTTTGTCATGATACTATTTTTAAATACATACCACAGGAATCACATGAGTAACACCATCTCCACTATCAATAACTGTACCAGTCAGTACAAAATCTGTATTTTTATTTGATTTCCAACTGGAAGCTAAAGCCAATACGGCCTGTACAGCAATGTAAAGTCCTTCAATATTAAAAGATTCAAACATTATTTCAGCAGTTTGCTCACGATTTTCTGGTGCATTAAGTGGTGGTTCAGTCTATTATTATTATTATTATAATATTAATAAAAATAACATTGATAGACAAGAGAAATATATGCATAGATGAGTAATAATAATGATAATGAGCAAAAATTCTACTATGTATTATATATATGTGTGTGCGTGCGTAAATTACCAAAAATCTAATGAATAATAAATTTTAAATCAATCACAATATTCAACAAAATAATTTTTTTAATTTCCTTGTAATTTTTCTTACCAAAAGGAAATAATGATCTTCAGGTTCACATCTTAAATACTTAAAAATACTCTGTTCCCAAAACCTTTCCATATGATCCCAGTTTTCAATCTGACCATGACGAATAGGATAATGTAAACCATAGGTTTTTGAATTTGCTAATGCTTCATTTCCAATATAAAAATCCAAATCTTCAACACCACGTTTTGAAGCAATATTTCCAGATAAATGTGAAGATTGCGAAGGTAATGCAGTGCCTGAAGTATTAGATCCAGCTGAATCTCTTGTAGCTATAACTGTTGGAAATACAAAAGAAGGAACATTATTTCCAGCAAAACCTAATTTTGTATACCTGAAAATTGTTTAAAACATTTAAAAAATGATGCCCTAAAAAAATGTGATTTTATTTTTTTGCTTTAAAAATAATTACCCAGTTCCATTATCCATAATTACTGGTGGAAGTCTTGAAGGCATTTTATTTGTTTATTAACTTTACTTTTTCTTTTAATGAAATGACTTCAAAGTAATTTCTTTGCCAATTTTCAGTGCCGATCACTATATATAATCACAAATTATAAAATCTTTTAAAATAATTCCTATATATATTTATTTATTACAAATTTATTTTACATACATACATATACAAATTATATGTCAAAGAATTTTTATTCAACAACTAATAAAATATAAATAATATAAAGTATCACCCTATTATTTTTTTTTTAAGGGATATTGTAATGCAATTAAGCAGTGAACCACAAGTATAATAATTCTTGACTAATAGAAAGCCCGCAATGCCTTTTGATGATTCAAGTATAATTGTACAACGAAAAAAAGACGAATTGGTTTGTTTTAGTTGGTGAAAATTAAAGATAGATTAATAGTAAAAACTATAAATCATTATTGATTATTTTTCGTTTTTTTATGACCATCAATAATGAATTCAGTTTCACTTTCCAATTCATCAAATTTATAATTCTGTTGAGAAGACAATGTTGATGATACTTCATCATCTGAATTCAATTCAGACCTAGAATCGTTATCAACGTCATCCTCATCATCCTCATCATCATCATCATCATCATCCTCACTCCCTTCTCCTTCTTCAGATGATGATGACGATGACGATGACGATGATGATTCATAATAAGGATTTTTACTATTATATTTTTTAATGAATAAAGATCCAATGACCTCAGAGTTATCTTGTTCTTGTTGAATTTGTTGACAATTTGGGGGATATTCCTTTTTATTCCATTCATCATTCTCGGCATTCTTTTCATCCTCAGAATTAATAGGAAGATGATCCCAACAATACTTTCCAGATTTATCAATATAATATGATTTATTATTTTTAATTTTTTGTTGAACATTATTATTATGCTGTTTTTTCTTGGACGAGTTTTTATCCTTTACAATATTTAAGGATTTAATTTTCTTGTTTAGTATAACACCGTTTTTACCAAGTTTATCACCACCACCGCTGCCACCACTAACAATAACATTATGAGTATTATTCTTATTCTTGTGAATATTATGAGTATTATTATTTTTATGAATATTATGAATATTATTATCAACATCACTACTACCACCTCCACCATCAACAGTGCCATTTTTGCCAAATTTTCTATTTTTTGATTTTTTTCTAGGACGAATTTTAACGAAATTGTTGTCATTTGGTCTCTCTTTTTCTATATTTTTTCCGTTCTTTGTTATTCTAACGCCATTAAATTTCAAAATTCCTTTTGATACACTTTGTAAAACATTGTTCTTATCTGTACCCATATTACGTCCCAAGGCAATCTTCACAAGATCCAAACCTCTTGTCAAATAGTCTGTGTCTTTACTCAAGGAAATATGGTAAATCAATGAATTCAAACAATGATTGACAACTTCAGCATCCAGAATAGGAGTTTCTATGTGATTTTTGAGTAGATGAAGGTAATAATAGCTTACATCTTTGATAGTAGGTGCATATCTAACCATAATCTGGTAAACCTGTCTAACATATTTTAATTCGGTAATAGATAATGGTTGCAATGCAATAGATGTTTGTAACCATATTTCTTTTAAGGTTTGTTTATTAGATTGCCCGGTTGTTTTGTCATTGTTTTTGTCAAGCAAACGTGTTAGTCTTTCCCACACAATTCTATCAAAATCTTCAAACAAGATAACTGCTGCAGACCAGTTACTGTTGTATTTTGCCTCACTAAGAATAGCTTGTTGCAATTCTGTTAGAGTAGGAGTTTGACCTGAATTGCGCATCTTGTCGATGGTGTACTTTGTACAAAAATGGATTGAAGGTTTTGACATATTTTTTTTTTGTTGACAAAAAAAAAAAATATGTATATATATATATTAATAAGTTTTAATGATTGTTGTTATTTTTTTAGATATTTTTTTAATTTTGGTTTTTCCGATAACAGATTCCTTTTTTTTCTTTCTTCTTATTCAATAAAAAGGACTTTGTACAAAAATGGATTGAAGGTTTTGACATATTTTTTTTTTGTTGACAAAAAAAAAAAATATGTATATATATATATTAATAAGTTTTAATGATTGTTGTTATTTTTTTAGATATTTTTTTAATTTTGGTTTTTCCGATAACAGATTCCTTTTTTTTCTTTTCACATTATTATGTACATCGAAGAAACAATTAAAAATAAAAAACGTTTTATAAGTTAATATAATTTTTATTTTTTATTTTTTATTTTTTATAAAGGCAATATCCTGCTCATATAATTTTATTAGAATAAAGTAAATATAATAAAAATAATTCACAAAATA